GCGGGGAGGGGGGGGAAAGGGGGGGAAGGAGAAGTATTGGGATTGGGAGGGAGGGGGGAGGCTGGGAAGGGATGTGAAGGGTAAACAAAAGGAGGAGGCTGCAATGCTTGGTAAGAAATATACGCATTATCCTGCCCATGTAATTGTAACCCCTCTGTACAGTATCTTCACAAATAAAAAAAGAAAAAAAAGTGTATCCTGCTTGGATATGCAAATGTGGAGATGGAATATTTGAACATGATGGGAGCCAAAACCTCAGAATAGCAGAGGGACCCTGAAAACAGAAGGACACACACACACACACACACTGAAAACAGAAGGACACACACACACACACAATCTCAGCACTGGGGAGGCTGAAACAGGATCCTGAGGTCAAGGATAATCTGGACTACCTAGTGAGACAATATTTCAAAAATTAAATAGGCATGGTGGCCAAATCTATAATTCTAGGTACTCAGGAGGTTGCAGTTAGGAGGATCATGTGAGACCAACCTGGGCAATCAGTTAACAAGGCCCCACTGAAAAAGAAGACTGGAGGTATGGCTCAAGTGGTATAGTGCCTGCTAGCAAGGGCAAGGTCTTGAATTCAAACCCCAATGCCACTGTGGTATGTATGTTGAACAAACAAAAAGCAAGAAAATGAAAACAAAACATACATAAAATATATGTAGGGAGAGAAGAGGGAAAAGCTGCTGGTTCCCCTGTTTAGGTGGCCCATAACATCCTTAAGACCTGTTGAACTAGTTTTCAGTAAGCTGGGGGTGGCTTTCCCCACTGTTCTCCGGTGTCTTCTCAGGAAGTTCTGGTCTCTGGAAGAAGCAGCAGTAGTCTTACATGAAAGTGAGCTCCAGGGCTCTGTGGGAAGGTTAACACTGACAATCTCAGGATTCTCCCCAACTGCAGCCTATACTTTTTAAAGAATTGTAAAATCCATTTTTATTCTTAAACAATTTATTACAATCATTAAAACTTCATACAAATGCAGACACACAAGGATACTGGCTCTCCCCTCCTAGATATCAGGTAGCTTTAGCTTTGGCAGGAGTGATAGAAGAAATACTTTGTGACACATTCTTGTCAACTCTCAGGGGGATCATCAGTAGGGGATGGGGGAAACTCAGCTGGAACAATCACAGGTAAAAGATCTCCCCAGGAGCTGACACGGGCACAGCGATACAAATCCTTGCCATGTCGGCGGGCTGTGATGATAGCATGCTCCATGTGCCCATCGGGACAGCACAGGTGACAATGCACATGGCGAGGCCGTTTAAAGAGAGGCTGAGTCAAACGAGGCCAGCGATTAATTTCCTCTGGAGACCCCCTGGCAAGGATCACCATGGAGAATGTTTCCTCTTTTGGCTTCTTGTTCTAAGAGAAAAATATGGAGACTACATAGAAGGAAAAGATACAGGGGAAAACAGTTTTCTCTCCTACATTCCTTTGCATATTCTATATATTGTATATATGCAAGTTCTCCGATCTGCTGGTTATACTATACACTTGTCAACTCTTCCCACCTCTGACCCGTTTTCTTCTGGCTTTCCCAGGTGATTTCTCCCCATTGCAAAATTCTTAGGATACACACCCAGCTGAAGGGGATGGGATGATAAGCCTGGGAGAAGCTACAGGCCAGGGGCGGAGAAGCTGTCAACTGAGGACAAGGAAGTTCATGGGGACACTGTGAACACAAATGAAGACATGAGATAAGACAAAGAACCATCAATCATAAAACTTAAAAATAAGAGAGCTAAGAGAGACTAGGGAGAAAGGAGAACAGGAGCAGAAGTAGGAGTAGGAAGAACTATGAGAATTACTAGGAAGAAAAGTAGATAAGGACACAAAGTAGCAGAGAGTAGCATAGTTTTATTCTCTCTTTTCCTGGTCATACCTGAGTTCAGATCTATGTGCCTGAACAGGAGGAAGCAATACTTACCGGAGCAAATACAAAACTAGGTCGTGGGTCCAAAGAAGACTTCTCTTTTCCCTGAAATAAAAAAAATAAAGCTGGGCATAGGGCACGGGGGGGGGTGTCTACTCTCTCTTTCATTCTCTTTTGCCAGTCCTGGGGCTTAAACTCTGCGGCCTTGGCACTGTCCCTGAACCTCTTTGTGCTCAAGGCTAGTGCTCTACCACTTGAGCCACAGTGCCATATCTGGCTTTTTTTCTGAGTAGTTTATTGGAGTTAAGAGTCTCCTGGACTTTTCTGCCCTGGCTGGTTTCAAACCACGATCCTCTGATCTCAGCCTCCTGAGTAGGTAAGATTCAAGCATAAGCCACTGGCACCCAGCTTTTTCTTTTTTTTGTGTGATGATCCTGGGGCCTGAACTCAGGGCCTGGGAGCTGTCCCTGAATTTTTTTTCTTCTAGTCTTGAGGCATGAACTCAGGTCCTGGGTACTGTCCTTAAGCCTCTTTGTGCTCAAGGTTAGTGTTTTACCACTGGAGCCACTTATCAACTTCTGGATTTTTCTGAGTAGTTTTTTTGGAGATAAAGAGTCACACAGACTTTCCTGTTCAGGTTGGCTTTGATCCTCAGATCTCAGTCTCCTGAGTAGTTGGGATTACACCTGGCTTTTTTTTTTTTTTTTTTTGCTCAAGACTAGTACAGCTATCACTTGAGCCACAGTCTACTTCCAGTTTTTTGGTGTTTAACTGGTGATAAGAGTTTCATGAATTTCCCTGCTCAGGCTGACTGTGAACCTTGATCCTCAGATCTCAGCCTCCAAAGTAGCTAGGATTACAAGGCAAAGACTGGCACCTGGTATATGGGATCTATTTTTATTAATTCAATCTTGGCCCTTGGTAAATTGAAGACTCCTTTAACATTGAATTCTAATAATGATGAACTATGTCCTTTGAGTTAAGCTGGTTACATCTCTAATACTCTAAACAAAGAACTTTCTCTTTGTAGCAGTAACTTGGCACATAGTACAGTGCTCTCCTTTGTCAACAGCCTCTCAAAAAAGAAATCTCACTCCAGGGCAATTAAATTTATAATAGCATATTGGCTTCTACTTTTATCCAGAGATAGTGTTCTTGGGTGAGCAGTGTTCTATATTGAGGTCAGTAGTTTTTCTTGTTTGTGGTGGGACTTGAACTCTGGGCCTGGGTGCTGACCCTGAGCTCTTTTTGCTCAAGGCTAACACTCTATCACTTTGACTCACAGTTATCATTTTGATTCACAGCTCCACTTCTAGTTTCTGAATGGTTAACTGGAGATAACAGTCCAATGGGGACTTTTCTGCCCAGGCTGACTTTGAAACGTGATTATTAGATCTCAGCCTCCTAAGTGGCTAGAATTATAGGCATAAACCACTGGCGCCAGCCAGTAAACTAATTTTTTTGTTGCTGTTGTTGGTTGTGGGACTTGAACTCTGGGCTTGGGCGCTATCCCTGAGCTCTTCAACTAAGGGAAAGCTCTACCTCTTGAGCCACAGTGCCACTTCCAGTTTTCTAGTGATTTATTGGAGTCATGGACTTTTCTGCCTGGGCTGGCTTTGAACGGAGATCTTCAGATCTCAGTCACCTGAGTCACTAAGATTACAGGCATGAGCCACTGATGCCCGGCAGTAAACTAGTTTTTAAAGGGCTAGAAAGTATGCAAAATATATCTGTTTCAATAACTTAACTCTGTAGTTTGTAGTAAACTAGTCAATGACCACAGAAACATGAATATACATAACATATACAAAAACAGGTGGTAGGCTAGATTTGATCTGTAAACTATTTCCCAGTATCATCACCTTGTGTGTCTAGTTCCTGAATCACTACTGCAAATGTGTGATACAGTTTCTTTAGTTTTAAAGACAATAACAGTTATCAACAATTAAAAAAACAAGGGGGAAGGCAGAAGGAAGGACAAGAAAACTTACCTTAAGGACCAGATCCCGGGCATCCATGAGAAGGCGGTGCCCAACTTTTGTTCCATTCTCTACCAATACCTGTTCACAAATGTTGAAAATAAGCAGAAGTTTTGAATTACAAGCTATCATCAAAGTCATCAGCTAAGAAAATCCAGATAAGAGTTCTGAAAGGAAAACAGAGACTAAAGATATACATAGAGATCCATGAAGGAGAAAAATTTTCATAAATGCAGACAATGAGGAAAGGCACAGAAACTACAAAGCTTCTTGAAGGGATTTCAACTCACCAGAAAACGGTTTGTCTTACGCCACAAGGTTTGAACCACTTCAGTGCGATCAGCCTTGCTGGGTAGTTCACTTAGGGCAAAGGCTGATACTACTATATCAAATTGTACCTGAGGACCAAGACAAGAAATATGTCAGATCCAGCATCTCCCTATTCTGAGACTACAATAGACTCCCAACTTTCCACCCAGTTTCTCTTATTGCTTTCTTTAATCTCTTAACATTAAATGCTGGATTACAAAGATGAGGCCACATTTCTCCATCTGTACATTCCACACTTAGAATACTCTAAATAGTGCTACTTGCCTTGGGTGATACAGGTAGAAATTGTCTGAAATAGACACCTGAAATATGAGGCTCCCCTGATTCTGAACCACCTGTGGAAGAAAGAGATGTGATAATTAAAAGTATAAATGAAGCTTATGAACACTAGGAAAACTGAAGAGATATCTGGACAAGACACATGATCCTTAATATAAAATTAAAACAAAACACTAGATATCAAAGAGCTTTAATACTGTAAATAAATTATAAAGGGATAATATCAGTTTCCCTAATCTGTTGATCTTACTCAGTCTATCCACAGTCTACCAAAGGCTTCTAGTACCCTCTGTTTAAGGTTCTTCTTATGTTTCAGTCATAACTCTACTTCCCAATAAAATGCTCTTTCTCATATTCTGTTGCTTTATCTCCCTCAACTTTGGAAGAGTCTTACCTTATTGCTTGGTCTCACCTTTTAGTAGCTTTTCTGCTAAGTTCAACATAGCAGCTGAACTGTCCACACACATATATTCATGTAGGCTCTGGCCCCAAGTGCTGTGAGCTGCCCTGTGATGACAAAAACAACCCACAAGTTCTCATGACAACAGTCATCCCTAGATTACTCCTCTTCCCAACTCCACACCTGAGGAAAGAGTGTTTTGTTAAAGTTACAAAAACTAGCAATGTTAATTCATTCATAATTTTTGAGAAACTAATAGACTTAAAATTCTATTTAAGGGAAAAACTTTTGATTGATATGTAAAAACTATTATTGATACTAATTTCCTAAATATTATTTGACATTTAAGTTCTTTTTTTTTATTGTGAAAATACTGTACAGAGGGGTTACAATTACATGGGCAAGATAATGAGTATATTTCTTATCAAGCATTGTAGCTTCCTCCTTTGTTTCCCCTTCCCATCCTCCCCCTGCCCCCTACCCAATCCTCCCCGCTCTCCCCCCCTCGTGCCCCACCAAAGTTGTAAAGTTTGTTTTCAACATAATCGTTTTTGACATAACGACTTGTACATCTCATTGTTGCAATGGGTCCACCTGTATCCCCACAAATTATACCGACATCAAATACAGTGAAAGCAGGGGTTATACTGTGTGGGAGGGACATACAAAGCAACAAAGAAATAATCTTATGTGTTAGAAACAATCGCATGAAAGAAAAAAATCATTTGAATACATATCTTAGGGTTCATTTCCTAACATCACATTATCTGACCTTTTCTGTTTGACTCAGACATATACTAGATATTGCAAATAAGGGAAACCATGGGTCCTATGTTTCTTTAGGCCTGGCTTACTTCACTTAATATAATTTTTTCCAAGTCTTTCCATTTCCTACCTAACAAATGGGGCAATGTCATTCTTCCTGATGGAGGCATAGAATTCCATTGTGTATATATACCACATTTTCTTGATCTATTTATCTACTGAGGGGCATCTGGGTTGGTTCCATATCTTAGCTATGGTAAATAGTGCTGCAATAAACATAGTCATGCTGGTAGCTTTAGTGTGGTCTTGTTTGTGAACATTTGGATAAATGCCCAAAAGTGGGATTGCTGAGTCATAGGGGAGCTCTAGGTGGAGTTTTTTGAGGAACCTCCATTCTACTTTCCAAAGTAGTTGAACAAGTTTACACTCCCATCAACAATGAAGTAAGGTTCCCTTCTGTCCACATCCCCTCCAGCATCTGTTGTTGTTAGAGTTCTTGATTTTTGCCATTCTAACTGGAGTGAGGTGGTATCTCAACGTTGTTTTGATTTGCATTTCTTTTATGGCTAGGCAGGTTGCGCATTTCTTCATGCGTCTATTGGCCA